TCAAAACTCCTTGAATTCTCAAAACCCTTCCTTTCACAATCCTCTTTGTTTAAAATTTCTATTTGGTAGAAAGGGTTTGTCATGTTGACATAACATGGTGTAGAACATTCAAAAATCCAATCTTTACAATGTAACTGATTAACAGTAAATGGTTAAAATAGTTTGGCATTTTACAAAACAGATGAAGCAACGGGTGGTGTAGTGTCGTTGCGTTTGAGCACTCCATTTACTTCCGAATTTCACTTTCTGCTAGCCGCAGGCGGAAAATGCAGCGCAAACTGTGAACTCTGTTCTAATACAGATGTGATGTCCTAGATTGGGCAGCTTCCTTCCAAGATGGAACACTTTGACTACAGGAACGTATGCCATGGCCATTCACCCTGAGGATGAGCACGGGGAGGCCCTCGGCGGCGACGTAGGGCGCGATGAGCTTGGCGGAGGAGAGGCGCACGCCGAGGCTCTCGATGAGCTGGACAACGGCGCCGTCGTGCCGGCTCCGCCCCATGAAGTACACCTTCCTGCCGAACCCGAGCGCGCCCGCCCCGGCGCTCCAGGAAGCCCAGAGCCTGAGCTCATCAAGCCCCTGACGCCGTCGGCCAGCATGGCTGCGTACCCCGGCGCGCGTGCGGCGATGGCGGCTGCATCCTCCGTCGACGCGCCGTGGTCCCGCAGAAGCTCCGCCACCGCCGCCTCGCGCGGGTCGCCGCGGGCGGAGGAGAGGGAGATCGCGGCGTGTGCGATGGTGGTGACGGGGCGGCGGGGCGGGACCTGGAGGCCGAGACGAAGAGGCGGGCGGGGCGTGTTCCCTGCGTGTGCCCTCGGGGCTTGGGAGACGCGTGGATAGAAGGGGATCGAAGGGGGATGAAAGGGATTGGGCTGTGCAAACCACGTGAAACAAATGGGCCGTCGGGGTTTTGAGAGGATTTTGGGCCCCGCGGGGTTGATCCTCTGGAAACCCCCTCAAACCCCTTGTACCAAATGAGGCCTCGGGGAGTTGGTGATGGATAGAAAAGAGGATTTCCTAGGGTTATAGGAGACCGTGAGGCAAACTTTCTCCAGAAATGATTTACGAAATATCTGTGTTGGTAAAACTTCCACTGGCATCGTACCCCTACCAGAGAAAATTTGGAGGGCTTTTCTTAGGGACGCGGAGTTTCTGCACCCGAGCTCAAATGAGCTCGGGTGAACAGTAAAATCAAAACTAAATAAAAAAAAAATAAAAAAAATCCAATTTTTTTGGGAGAAACATTGACAAAAGTTTTAAGTGCTTGCAAAAATTCACCATGAAATCACATTTCTAGAAGGCGTGGAAAAAAAAAACAAAATCAGTACTCTGAAAAAGCTACTTTCAAAAGCATT